CTCAAAACAGTTTCCAACACTTAGATTTGGATGGGTCGTTATAACCACTCTTTATCACTTGATGCTACAATCATGGTATCAAAAAACTGCCCAAGCATTAGTGAACACGTTGTCATCATTTCATGACACAACAGGTTACCATAGCAACAGTATGACTTCCTAAAAACACCCTTAATTACAGCTTTAGGGGCTTATAATTCAAAAACGGCACGGTGAAATTTTTTTATATTATCAACTTTTGATAGATATGATAAGACACAACTTTTGACAAAGTTTAAACAAATTCTGTACATGGGGTTCAGAGCTACCTTAAATTTTTGAAAATTTTAGGTGGTTCTGAACCCCATGTACAGAATTTGATAACGACCCATCCAAATCCAAATCCTTAGAACATTATCTGTTGTTAAATGTTGGCAAAAGACATTCCTTATTATTGTTATTGTAATTTTTAACTTTTTTTAACTTTTTAAACACACCATAAATTGGACTTAATATTATACATAAATCGTTACCATAATTATCATCATTACCATCACCATCATCAATCATCATTACATCATCATCATCACCATCTTCATCTTCTTCATCATCATTATCATCATCATCATCATTATCATTATCATCATCATCATCATCATTATCATCATCGTCCTTGTCATCGTTGTTATCATTGCCATTGTCATTGGCATGTCATTGTGAAGTCATAATCATTGTAACAAACTTGATACATTGCATTGAAGAATGACTACTCTGATTAATTAAATTTGCTGACTGAACTTATGGATCTCAACAAACCTGGAGATACAAAAGGGCTTTCTCCCATGCTGCGTTAGAGTCATCAAGTCCTCCTGCAATGTAAATGATGAAGCGAAGAGTTCCCCATATGCGAACCAGAACAAATATGACAGGAACCAGCGTCAGTCTTTTCTCTGCTTTCAGGGCATATTCCTTTGATTGTGCAGATGTAAACTGCTTTTGTTGACAATAAACATGAAAACCAAGGAAGAGAAGCAAGATTTTAAACCTTCAATATCAGGCATTGACAGTTTATTCACTAAAAGTGGCAGACTTATACAAAAAAAGATGTTTAAACAACTTGGCTGTAAAACTAGAAAGTAAAATCTTGTACTCTGGTATCATGTCTATTATTTATTACTGACACAAACTTCACATGTCATTTCCTTTATAAGAATTAATTACTTCTCATACTCAAATATTTAAGCATAGCCATAATGGTGGCTTACAGGTCTGTTCTTATTGGTAATTAGCATGTAGATGTTTTTGATATTATTTCTCTATTTAATCTCTGTTAAGTTCAGATTCAACTAGCAAGAAATTAGAGTTGTGTGGAAAATTATGTGATGAAAGTATTTCAAGTGTCAATAAAAATTATTATTAACACTTGAACTTATTTCATCACATAATTTTCAAAACAACTCTCATTTCTTAAAATACTCTGCTGTCCATCATGTTTTCAACTGAAAATGTGATGACACACTGTTTCTCATATCTTATATAAATCCAGGATGGACATACATACATCCTTTATAGGGTGTGTTTAAAACATGAAATGGTGAAATAACAAAATTTAATCCCTACAATATATTGAGAGCTAATCACTGTTGACTCAGTGCTATTTAGGCTAACTGTAGTGTCATTTCGTCACTTTGCCATTTTATGTTTTAAACATGCCCATCCTTTATAGCTGGTTTTCACATGACGTCACTAAAATTTGAACTACAAAACTATTGATCTTCCTGAGATTTTAGTTAAATGATGTATAAGAGCAGCTGAAAACTAATATTCATACAAATTTTCGCTCCAAATGGGTTCTTGGTTTTGTGATAAAGTACGTTTGAATTTCTAAGCTTTTGCGTGACGCGGCATTTACATCATGGCCTAGAGAGTTGTCATGATGGTTAAAAAAGTTACTTATTTTGGGGAACTTGGCTATCTGAACAGTTCATGTCTTAGAAAACGTATTATTTTAATGTTTTAGAGTTCCTCGAGGGATAAATTCACGCTTTTGTAGCAAAACTCAGTGACAGATGTTTCTGTTGGTTTCCGGCCGCCATGTTGGTGCCCATACGGATGGGCACCAGCATGGCGTCTCCATACAAATCTCTATAAAATTGGGTAAAAAATTTCTCCACATATCTCGCATAAGAAAAATTGCTGTGACCAGAATTTTGGCGAATTTTCCAAAGAGGCTCTTCAAAGACAATTAATAAAATCATACACTAGAAAAACAAACCAGCTTTTCGGCAATTAACAACACTAATATAACACTACGTTATTAACTTTGTCAGGAATGACAGAGATATAGAACTACAACATAAGGGGTAAACAGGGGAGGGTCCCGAGGTCCCTTTAATTCAATAACACAGCCCTACTGTAGATAGCTAAGACACAAATACAAGAGGTAATATAAAAGAACTAGTAGCGGGGGGGGGAGAGTAATGAAGCTATGTAGTGTGCAGCTGAGCACATGAACAAGCACCAAGTGTTGCTCATGTCAGAGGAACTAGTCCCAACTACCCCTCCTCCTCTCAAGTTAAATATGAACACATGGATTATTAAAACTAACAAATGAAATAAAATGGCAGTATTCCCTCCCTTGTTTTCACTTCCCCTGTGACATGACCAGCCCTCTCCGTTGGAGCCTTGGGACAACACCTGCCCCCTACACCCACCCCTGCTGTGTCCCTCTACCCCTCCCTGCATAACTGTGTGAAGTCAGCCTGCCACAGCTTACCTCTTTTCGAATATGGTACTTTAACATCAGATAAAAAGTTGAACTAACACAAAAAGCAGTGACTTCCCAAGCTTTTCCTGAAATCAACATCCACAGATACTTATCGCTTTTTGACAATCTTGAGTCAATCCAGCACCAACCCGCGCTGTACACGTCGTTGTCATTGCCCAACTTTCCCAATCCTAGAGCAGTACCTGTGATAATCAGTGGAACTCCCCAGCCGATAATATGGTAAAATTTAAGCATTGTCCCAGCTTTGTTGGCCTGCTTTTTCACCACAACAGTGTACATAAATATCGCGAGGAATGTTGTCCAGAAAAACGACCAAAGTGAAGCGCAAGTTGTAACAAAACTTTGCGATTTACACACGGTGGAGTCATCTCTTCGTCGCCACACGCCAAATAAATTTCCCCCAGCGATAAAGAAGTCACCGATCGAGATGTAAACCAGTATTCTTCTTGAAGTCGATCTAAAATCCTTCCATGCAATAAATGTACCGATGATGAAAGAAGTCCCTAACAATGAAAGACTCGCAGATATGGTTGTAAGAACTCTGTTGATGACCGCGTTCGCTTCATCTTCGAATCCTTGAGTTGGTGTACTAGAAATATTGAAGACAGCCGTCGATTCTAACAGCATACTGAAAGTATCCAATGTTGACGAGATTCATAAATGCGACGGGACAGTTTCGGGGAAAAAAGTTAAGTGTTGCTCAATTCCGCGTATCAGCTCGTATCAGTTTCTGAGCGTTTTCTTATCCGTTCTCCGAGCCTGCGATTTAGCTCGCGGTTGCTCTGTCACGCTAGCGTAACGTGACAGAGCTGCGAACAGAGGCGGGCACTAGCTAGCCTGCGAACGCAGACGTCGCTTTGTCTCCGCCGAAAAATAACGTCTGCGAACCCGAGCCAGGAAACGATTTCTGTGACGTAATGACTTTTGTTTCGCTTTGGCCTATATGATTTCATGATACAATGAAACTCGAGTGCTCCTCGCAGCGAATACCTTGCGCAGTAGTTCTGGGGTTACTTGAGCTAAACTGTGATTGGCTTAAAATTCCTACGTCACAGAAATCATTTCCTGGCTCGGGTTCGCAGACGTTATTTTTCCGCGGAGACAAGCGACAGCCGGAAATACGTCTGCGTTCGCAGGCTAGGCACTTATTAGACCTAGCTAGGCTGACCTTATATGAATCCTAAAGCGATCCACTCAATTAATGTCATCACACGAATTTAAATGAATAAAATTTTACAAGAGATTAACAATAAATAATCACGAATTTTTATCGTCTGTACTACTGTACCTCTACGAGTAAAAACCATGTAGCTTCTCTCAAAAATCATTGTAATTAACACGAGTTAGTCTGAATATTAATATATTTCAGTCTACGTAGATCTTGTGCAAAACCAGGCAGGTTAGTCACGAGATACAAATGCAGCGTTTTGTTTGAATAAAGGAAGTCTCGTGCAAAACCAGACGAGCATGCCAAGAGATTTACTAACCATTATTAGCCCCTTTTATTAGTACAACCCGGGGCAGGTACTCCCAGAAAAGTTGGGCGGAGGTGTGCGGCCGGCTTCCCAAAACCCTTACCCTATTTATGACCAAAATCTGCGATTTTCGCCACCCTATTTATGACCTGACCAAAAATTCGATACCCTATTTATGACCATTGTGGGGCTTTTTGAAGGACTTTGCAGTTGATGGTGTTATCGAGTTAAGCCTGCAATCAAGCAGGCCCACCTTTGAGTTCCATGCACGAGCGACGAAGAGCAAGTCGGCGAGCGAAGCGATCCGGCGGGAGGAGTCTGGGGCAGAAGCGCCAAGAACGTGAGCCTCCTACTACACAGGGGTAGGGTTTTGAGAGCATTCTTGCCCTAAACAGGGACAGGATTTCAAACCCTCAGCAGCAACCCTAGGCCTTGCTCTCCCTTTACCTGGCTGGATTAAGAAGCATCCTGAGTTTCACTTGCTTGAGGAACCTTGTTGCTATAGCGCCAGGGTATTTATAACGCTACACTTGGATGTTCCCGTTTTAAACCGGTGGCCTACTTTGACAAAACCAATTCTACATAGATGTTCCTTTCTCTTTCACGGCACACTGAAAGATAACAAGACAGGGGTGGATCTTGGGGGAGGGTGCAGGAGGTGCACNCCCCCCCCCCCCCCCACCGAAATGACATGCGGCTTTCTGATAAAACTGGTATTCTGAAAAATAAAAAGAAACCATGTGGTTTATTGGCGTTGAAGTAAAACATGGTGCATCCCCTCCTAAGAAAAATGCTGGATCCACCCCTTCAAAAAAATAATATTTTAGAATGTGAACTATGTTAAATATACATTTTAGAACAGGCAACTTATAAAAATGATTTGAAATAGTGATTTCTATAGTATTAAAAGAAGTGTTGAAAATTTCTCTATGTGGTTATAGAAATAATTGAGTTGCCATGTGTTGTTATGAATATACAAGTTTTTTACCCTAAGTTTAACATTTTTTGGAGGTCCCAGTCTGTCCTTGAAGCCTACCATAACATTTACCTTCATTCTAGGCTAAGTCATTATGACAGATCAAAGACAATTTTTTTTTTTCAAATTTCACCATTATTATTCATTATTCTAAAATGTATTGACCAAAGTCGCTCTCCTCTGGCAAATTGATATGATTGTTTAACATAAACAATATTGTTTCTACATAAATGATAATGATCTTTTTAATCATCAAAACAATGCACAAAAAATATCACATGTCCATGATTAATTAATCAAGTATCATCACTGAAAAAGACAAGCCTTTGGTAAGACTTCATTCATTCATTCATGTTTACTATGCTACACTGATACGTTTCTTTTTTTAATGTATCAGTTCGAGAAAACATCATTTTAATTGAATGGGTACAGTTTCGTTAACATATTACAAATTCTTTCTTTTCAGACTTCTAAATGGATAAACACACCAAGCTCCTCTACTTCAACTTTCTTGTCATGTTATACTTGAAATGAGTACGCCTTCAAGACATCATTAGCCATTCCAATGCATGTGGAGTAGTCACAAACTACTTTTTCAAATCCTTTTCCTGCTCTTTGCAGCGAACCTCCAAGTAAAGTGTATTTGCTGTCTAGAGCTGTTGAGCTCTTAGGCTGACTTGATGATGATGTAATACCTTTTGACCAGCAGTACGTCCTGATGGAATAGTCCCTTGAACAAGACATCACGCGATAAGCATCAACATGCAGGCCAGTAACAGGTCCCATGTGATCAGTGTGGGTTTGTAAGGCCTTGAATGAATTCAAATCCCACAGACGTACCGTGTGGTCATGACTGGCAGAAACCACTTTTGAACCTAAGACCCTGACACATGACACCTCCCCACTGTGCCCTTGAAAACAGTGAATCTGCTGTCCACTGTCACTATTCCAGAGTATGATATCACCATTGTTGTAACCTGCAATGAGTTGGCTCTGTTTACCTGGCACCCAAGTCAAGCAAGTCACTGTGATGTCCGATGGATGCTGTAGAGTGTTTAGTTCAGGGCGTTTCCAGCACTCAGGGGCCAGGTATCTGATGTCAAATATTTTGACAGTACTTTCAAACTTTGATGCAGTGGCTAAGAGATGGTCAGATTGGAGCTCCATGTAATTCAAACCAAACGGACATGTCAGTTCATATTGAGGACTTGCTGTCAGTCTGGTGTCCCAAATTTTTACATAACCATCTCTAAATCCAACAAGAAGTAGTTGGCTTCCTTTACTGTCTTTTCCTTGTCCAATTACACCCTTTCCACACAACATGGAGCTTATAACTGCAGAATGACTTCCTTGCAATGTTGTATCCTGCTCTGTCTTGACATCCCATAATTTGATACCCCCTTCTGTATCCCCACTTGCCATTAGAGCATCATGGGACAACACTGTTAGACAAGCCACTGAAGATTCATGGGACTGCTTCTTCCATAGACTCTTTCCTTCTTGCACATTCCACAAGCATACAGTTTTGTCTTGACTGCAACTTGCAACAATGGGAGATGCATTCTTTTCAATTAACTCCTCATTATAAATATCATTGGTTGTGAGAAAAACCATGTCTGTGACTTGGCTCTTGTGGCCACGTAAGGTTTTGCATACATAGTCCAGGCCTGATCTTCCTGTGGCCACGCCAGTTTCAATCTTACTCCGAGCAATAAAATACTTCTGCCATGTTTTCTCTCCTACAAAGAGACAAGCAACTAGCTTACAAGTTTTAAAGTAAGTGCTTTATTGTTGGAGTAGGCAGCGAATTTTGGCATCTTTTTCTAAAGAATCAGATAAGCTTAAATACTCCAGTAGAGTACCGGTAGTTTCCTCGCAGTTGGCCGTTTTTGACAACCCTGATTTTATTGCACCACTGTTTGGCTCTACTGACACAATCTTGTGTAAAGCTATTATGCAAGCAGATGTGTACAGGGCCTGAGAAGACGAAGTGAGCTGACCCGAAAAAGCCGTTCACTTACCAGGCGTTAGTTTTCCCAAGTGGCAAAAGTTCCATCGTTGCAAGCAATGTCTTTTCCACAATGAACCAACCCGGGACGCTTCATGCCAATCTCTGCAAACCTGAGAACATTTGGAGAGGTTTTCTGGTGACAGATAGCTGAAAATATTGACAAGTTCATCGAACGAAAATATGTTCTCTTTCACTTCCTCTTCCGCCATTATGAATTTCCCTCCCAGAATGCCTTGTGTGGAATGTCGAGCCGACGATTTCCCAGCGGCTGCTTGCGTGAGTAGCAAAAATTGTTCCACATACATAAAGTGCCTACCGTGTTGCACGAGTCAGGAGATTTCGCTTACCAACCGTACTTTATATCAAGAAACTTTAGTTTCTAGGAATTGAAAACAGTTTTGTACCGCAAATTGTGACTATCTTGTAAGTACGCATTTCCTTTGTGTGACAAAAACATGGCTGACGCACATTCAGAGCGCTTTGATGGAATGTTGCTAGCGATTGCACAGCAGTGCGAAGGAGGAATTGCTGAGGTACGGAAAGCATGCGTGCTTCACTTTTAATTTGCTAGTAGACTTTCAGTTCTTAAGCAAATCTTGAGACTTGAAAGCATCGTAGAAATCCTGTAACAGGCATTATTTTGTAGAATTTGGTCACGCAACTTCTCCAAGAACAGACAGTACGGCTCTTCAGGCCAGTTTAATTAGGAGGCAAGCTGTGAAATAGAAAAAAAAAAAAAGCTCTAAAATAACAAAAAACTTATCTATGATACTGTGTAAGTGTGAAAACTCGATCTAACATGCAACTGTGCTGTTACTGGCCAATCAGCAGTTACATCAAACCATAACTAGTTGCAAGGCCGGGTTTTCACATTACTCATTGCAGGTCTGATTGGTTTTCTGTCACAGTGCAATACGATTTCACAGATAATTCTTCCAGTGTATTCTGTTTTCAGATTTGCATTTTTGCTAACAACAAATTTTTCCTGGCAGTTGTTAGATGTATTCTTTGGATTTCTGGAAAGAAAGACAGACTTTTTTATTGGAGCTGGAAAAGCAGATGCAGAGAAAATAGTTTTAAGCAAGTTTAAAGAGCATCAGAAAAAAGTTGAAGAGGTTTGTTGGAATTGCTGTCATATGTTTGTTGAGTTTGTTTAAATTCTTATTCAACAAATATCATTCCAGAGGGTTTTCCAAGCAAATGGTCAACACCCCTGGAGAATCAATAACAGTAATTATTACAGAACTGTATTTCAAAGAAATGAAATGATGATCAGCAACTTCTAATTATACTGAAACTTGACTTACCACAGCCACTAATGAACCTTTCTGCTCATCCAGTCACAAGGATTGTAGGAAAGAAAACCTACTAACACCTTTTTGTCTTTTATCTGTGATTTATTTTTATTATCTGGCTAGCTGCATGAGTGAGCAAGATGAACCGAATCCTGAGCTGTGGTTGGCTACTGAGGTGGGCAAGATGGTGCTATCTTGACTGCTCCTGATTACCCGTTGTGTTCCACAAGAAAATACTGTTCTTTTTCCATCAAAAAGATCCTTTATTGACTTGTTTGGTCAAGATGGCTGGGTATTAGCTTCATTCTTTTTTTGTGAGTTTATGGACTTCAACTCCATTGTTAACACACCAAAAAAGGACTCAGCCAATATCCAACCATCTTGCCCTCACGCTTGGTCAATAATCCATACATCTAAAGTATGCACTCAATTTTGTCATTAATCAAGGATATATATATTATACAGATTGATCAGCTTGTTTAACTAGCAACTTTGGTATTTTTCAGAGAAAGGAAAAAGAAAGAAAAGAAGCTGAGGCTTTGAAAGCAGCAAAGGCTAAAAAGGAAGCTAAAGAAAAACCAGAAGCTAAGATACAAGAAGTGACAGAGGAAGAAGCAGAGAAAATAAAGAAAGAAGAAGCAAAAAGGAAAGAGAAGGAACAAAAAGAAACGGAAAACAAAAAAACAGATAGCGATAAAAACAATGAAAATGGAGAGGTGAGTTCACTCATTAACTGGTAAAATTGATTTTCTGAATGTGACAACCCGAGTAAACAGCTACATGTATTGTTCTTTGGATGCCCACTTTGTTCCCAGTGAGAGAGAAATGTCATCCTGTAATACACGTAGTTGAACCTCTCGTAAGCAACCACCTCTCCTCAGCAACCAGTTTTCCAAAATACCAAAAGTTTCCAAGCTGGGACCTCTTGTAAGCGACCACCTCTTGTAAATGAACTCGGCAACTTTTACAGCTAAAAGTTTGAAATTTTCTTTTGTTTTTAACCTCCCTTAAATACTACTTAAGGTGGTGTGACATTATTGCATTCCTGAATAGTACAAGAGATGGAAAATTCTCAATGGGAAGTACTGGATTTTTTGAATCTTGAAATTGGCTTTTCACCTATTGTAAATAAAACATTTAAAACATGGAATAGTAACCATATGCTAATGAGGCAAAATTTTGACGCAATATGGTCTAAGCTCTCATAAGCAACCACCTCCAGTAGGAAACAACCAAGGCTTGACATTTTGGATGGTTGCTTACAAGAGGTTGGACTGAATGACTTAAAAACATTTCATATTGATTCAGGCTGCCAAAGATGACGAAGCAGATGATGAAGAAGATGAAGATGCAAAAGGAAAAATGAAACCAAACTCTGGTAATGGAGCTGATCTTCAGAAATATAAATGGATACAAGTAAGTTATGATAAGATTGCAGGATTTAATCAGGAGTGTCTTGATTTACAATGTGTGGTTCCAGAAAACATCCATTCCAAAGCCCATGGAAGATTATTGGAAATTCCAATGGCTTAGGGAGAGGGGGTTCAAACGCCAATTGAAAATACATGTATGAAGCTGAACTAGAATTTCTGAAGGGGACTAGAAGGAGCATTCAACCAAAAAGCTTTCCTTGAGGAGTATGGATTTTGTCTGGAGCAACACAATGAAATAATAATACGTGGAAATTACCCGACAAATGGTAGGTGCATCCCATTTTAAATGAAAATAATGTCATTTGTATAAATGATTCATTTTGCTTTAGTGTTCAAAATCATCAACAAAATCTGAGCTGAGGAACATTTTGAAACTGGCGCTGTTTGTCTCAAGTTACTTAGTGAACTGAATACAGAACTGTGAGGAAAATAAAAAGTAACTCCAAGATGAATTAAGGGAAAGTTTTCATTGAGTCAGACAAATGTATTTGTCTTATGAACAAGCTGGATTCACTAGCAGTTTTGGAGCCAACAGCTTAACTTTGGCTTCCTTCCTTTCCCTCCTTTGTGAAACCTTTGCAGAAACCCTTCTTGGGCATTCATGTACCACATACAATGTAAAAACCCTCAAAAATTATAGGCAGGCTTTTAGCCAGAATTTGAAAAGTGGCCGTCAAAAATGGGCTATAGGACCTGCTCAAATAAGCAATTTATGAGGTAACATATGAAAAATATAATAATTTTTTATAGACAATGGCCGTCCACTGGACGCCCATCTTGCTAAAATCCTGATTATAGGTAAAAGAGGAAACTAAAGTTGCAGATCCAAATTTTATTTAAAACTGACTGGGTATGTATTTAATAGAGATGCAACTTGCCGTTGATTCTACTTCATTCTGTTTATGATTTCTCTTTTGTTTCAGACATTATCAGAAGTGGAGGTGAGATGGTTGATTTGATGCGTGGTGATGGGATTAATGCTTGAAGGATTTGGGGGATATTTTGCTGGAGGATGGTGTAAAGAGTATTTTTTTAATTCAAATATTTGCTGTTTTCTCTTGCTCACCTGGTGAGAAATATATTTTAAAACTGCTGAGCACATGGAAGGTGTACATGCAAATTCACAGAATGTTTAGAGGTCGGCAGGAAGAAATACCAAAATTACATGTACCAAATTGGCCAAAATTCTGTGTGATAGCACAAGTATATTATTTTGCACCATTTACCAGTACCTTACTTACTTTTCAAGTGTATGAAATGAGTTACAGTGTAGCAAATAAAATAATGCTTACAAGCTCTCCTTTCCTTTCTCTCCCAGATTCACTTTGGTAAATTCTTGTCTGGTTGGTTAAATTTTCATAACTAATTTTCACTATATATATGTATTTCCACAACTTGAGAGCCTAGTTAAGGGTCAACTTGAAGTATCTTTGTTGAGCGGCCCATGAAATGTAAAAAGTATGAATGGTACAAAATGTGTTATTTAATTCTGTCACCAGTTAGGATTGTCAGTCAGTGTGGAATGATGCAAACAGTGTAACAATTGAGCTTTTTTTATCAATTTCACACAAGGAAGTGATGATCACAAAGCTGATAAGATCTGACAATACTGACTGACAAATATCTTCCAGTTAAGAAGTAGTTCTTCATTTATCTGGGTTATTCATGTGTTTTTTTTAAAATTTAATTTCAGGTCAGGATTCCTTTGGAAGTCAATTTTAAAGTAAAAGGTAGAGATGTAGTGGTGGACATACAACAGAGTGTAAGTATTTTCAGTATTACTGTTAGGTATATATCTGTAGTTGTTTTAAGGTGGCTCAAAACAGTTTCCAGCAGTTAGATTTTGATGGGTCATTATTAACCACTCTTTATCACTTGATGCAACAATCATGGTTTCAACAAACTGCCCAGTCATTGGTGAACACGCTGTTATCAATTTCGTGACACAATGGGTTACCATAGCAACAAAATGACCTGCTAAAAACACCCTTAATTATAGCTTTAGGGGCTTATTATTCAAAAACGGCTTGGTGAAATTTTTATATATTATCAAATTCTGATGAGCATGATAAGATGCAACTTTTGGCAAAGTTTTAAAAAAATTCTGCACATATGGTTCAGAGCCACCTTAAATTTTCAAAACTTTAAGGTTGCGCTAAACCCTATGTACAGATTTTTTTAAAACTTTGCCAAAAGTTGCATCTTATCATGCTCATTAAAATCTGGTAATAAGAAAAAATTTCGCCGTGCCGTTTTTGAATAATAAGCCTTTAAAGCTGTAATTGAGGGTGTTTTTATTAGGTCATACTGTTGCTTTTAGTAACCTATTGCATCATGAAAATGACAACACTGTGTCCACCAATGATTGGGCAGTTTTTTGATACCATGATTGTAGCATCAAGTGTTAAATATTGTTTATAACGACCTATCAAAATCTAAGTGCTGGAAACTGTTTTGAGCCACCTTAAAGGTGTTCTACTGGAAAAAGTTAAACACAACTACCTTTATCAGTTTATCATTTAAGAACTAGACAACATGTACTGTGTTTCTGTCGAGTTTTAGTACAAATCTACTAGTGTCCTATTACAATTACTTCTCTGATTGCCTACGCTACTGACTATCTATTCTTTTGTAGATAGTGAGTAGTGTAGTAGTGTGCATTTGTTAACAAACTGGTGGCCACTTCGAAGTGTCTGTGAAGAGGATTTAGATAAAGTTTTGAACAACTAGTAGATTTATACTAAAACAATTAGATTATTCGCTCTTGTTGACAAACTGGTGGCCACTTCAAAGTGTCTGTGAAGAGGATTTAGATAAAGTTTTGAACAACTAGTAGATTTATACTAAAACAATTAGATTATTCGCTCTAGATTTCTATGTGTGATAGCTGACGAGGGCGCAGTTGTGCCTGAGTCAACTATCACACCATAGAAATCTCGAGCTCATAATCTAATTGTGTAATAGAAACACAATTTTTTAACCAATCAGCACAAATACTTTCTTAGGGCTGTTTTCTAAAGGAAATTATATAACAATACAGTTTTTCTCTTTACCAGTCATGGTACATTTCCTTCAGTGTAAGTGCAGAGAATTTGATTGTCAAAATAAATTTAATCCCTTGGTTTGGTGATCAGCTTGATTATTTTCAACACTCAGTGCATGTGTATAGATGTCCCAAATAGAGATTATTGCTTATCAATTTGTAAGTTAAACTAAGAATTGCTATTACATGTATCAAGTGTCTTAATTTTTTTTGAGTCAGTCTTTTCCAAATGATCTTTTAATGTCTTTTTGTTTCAGTTCTGTCAGAAATGCTAATTTTCTCATTAAATTTGTTCCTAGCATTTAAAGGTTGGTTTGAAAGGACACCCTCTCATCATTGATGGGGACTTTCCAAAGAAGGTAACACAAGTTTTGAATCCTTTCAATCTCAAGAGTGTTCTCAAGAGTGTTCCTTTTTTTTAGCAAGCATGAGAGCCCCAGGACCGCTGACTTTGAATTTGATTTTTAACTTTTTCATCAGGTTAAAACTGAAGAGTGTTCATGGGTGTTGCAGGATCAGAAAGATGTTGTTATCTCACTTGAAAAAGTATGTGTTGATGTGAGCCATTTTTTAAAAAATAAAAATATTTGTTAGGCCATCCCCATAAAATGTTTTTTTTTTTGTATTCTATCGTCCTTTCTCATTTAAAAGTACTATAAACACCAGCTGATAAGCTGCACCTTTTAACTCAAAATTTCCCTAAAAAGCTGGGGATGCGGCTGAACTGCAAGAACTTCTGGGCAACGAACAAATCAACAAATGTTCATGTGAAATACCTTTCTCACAACTCCACTTTTGATTTAATTTGAGTTCTTTCAAAAAGCGTTACTCCAAAATTTGAGTTGCCAAACTCAGGGTGCGGCTTATCTGTGAGTGCAGCTTATCTGCCAGTGTTTATGGTAAGTCAGTATAAAAGTAGGTGAGAGAAATATTGAGAAATAAACAAATAAATAATTCCACGCAGGCTTTGATTATATCTTCATGTGTGATGGCCATTTTAGATCAAGGCCACTATCACCCTAAAATGTGTTTGAAGATGGTGGCATTGCATATTATGCAGTCTAATTGAGATGTACAGTAAGAGGCACATAAAGATGAATAATTTATATGAAGTGTACACCATTTTCATTTTTGTTTTTTTCCAAATGGAAAAAATGTTTCTTAGTCAGGTGATGGGAAGCCAAACATTTAATGGGGATGGCCTTAGTAATGATTGTAATATTATGGAGGAATCAGTGACGCTTTAGGTGGTACACTGGACTCTAAACTAAGAGAACCAGGTTTTACAGAAACCAAGGTCTTTGGCAAGACTTTTTACTCCCACAATGTCTTGTTCCATCAAGGAGTATATAAATTGTTACTGGTTGACTGTGAAGAACAACCTGGCCAAACAAAATCTTTGTTAATCTGTGGCACTGGACTAGTATTCCATCCAGGGAACTGGGATGAACTCTGACAGACTGGTTCACTGATAAGGATACTACTCTCTTGTTTCACTTTTTTATTGATGTCAACGAAGTTGATATTTCATGTACATTTGTACAGGTTAATAAGATGGAGTGGTGGTCTCAACTGCTGACAACAGATCCAGAGATCAACACTAAAAAAGTTCAACCAGAAAATTCAAAGGTTAGGTCTTTATATGATAGAGCGGTTTTCAATTAATTGTTGTAAAACCAAAACCAAACCATTTACTTACCAATTACACTACTCGGCCAATCTCAAAACATAGTAAAACCAAAACCAAAACCAAAGTAATAATTTACTAACCAATTAGACTACTCAGCCAATCTCAAACGATAGTAAAACCAAAACCAAAGCAATTGCCTGATTACTGTTGACACTCAGTTGAAAACAGCTCTATTGTACAGTTATCACAATTTAAGGTCATTCCCCAGTATTGCATTGCGCATCCTTACTGCGCATAATTTATGGCGCCATTAGCGCGTGTTCATGCACGTGCCCATTGAAAACCTGGCGGATTTGCCTTGATATTGAGTTCTGTCAGTTGAAAAATGGCTATAGCTCACCAATGAGCTCGGGCACCCCAAATTTTTTTCCAGGCAATGACATTTTAATCAACTAATCATTAACTTTGCGTGAGAAAAGATTGACCTGATTTCCATGTTTAAAAATTTAAATAAATAATAAAAATAGCAGTTGCACTGTAGTCTTTTCTATTTTGCAGTTTGATAGCCGTGCAAGCAATTTGGTTCCAATATTTTAACAAAGATTCAGCTGTCTGTCAAAATAAAACTTAAAAAGTTTATTTGTGTCCAACACAAGTATTGACTGTAGTTTNACATTTGTACAGGTTAATAAGATGGAGTGGTGGTCTCAACTGCTGACAACAGATCCAGAGATCAACACTAAAAAAGTTCAACCAGAAAATTCAAAGGTTAGGTCTTTATATGATAGAGCGATTTTCAATTAATTGTTGTAAAACCAAAACCAAAACCAAACCATTTACTTACCAATTACACTACTCGGCCAATCTCAATTGATAGTAAAACCAAAACCAAAGCAATTGCCTGATTACTTTTGACACTCAGTTGAAAACAACTCTATTGTACAGTTATCACAATTTAAGGTCATTCCCCAGTATTGCATTGCGCATCCTTACTGCACATAATTTATGGCGCCATCAGCGCATGTTCATGCACGTGCACATTGAAAACCTGGCGGATTTGCCTTGATGTTGAGTTCTGTCAGTTGAAAAATGGCTATAGCTCACCAATAAGCTTGGGCACCCCAAATTTTTTTCCAGTCAATGACATTTTAATCAACTAATCATTAACTTTGCGTGAGAAAAGATTGATCTGATTTTTATGTTTAAAAATTTAAATAAATAATAAAAATAGCAGTTGCACTGTAGTCTTTTCTATTTTGCAGTTTGATAGCGGTGCAAGCAATTTGGTTGCAATATTTTAACAAAGATTCAGCTGTCTGTCAAAATCAAACTTAAAAAGTTTATTTGTGTCCAACACAAGTATTGACTGTAGTTTGAGGCATGTTTTCATGAGTTTGGGCTCACAAAGAGTTTACAATAACTTGGAATGCGTTCTTGTAATTAGCATTAACGCTAAAATGGGACATTGTCAGTGCCTCACTGCTCCTTAACGAGCATGGGCACCCCCTTTTTTTATTTTATAATTTAAGTTCTCATATGATAAATATTCAGTGGACAAAGTTTGAACAAAAATCTATGTGCAGTTTTATTTCAGGGGAATTACCTTAACTCCAGTATCCTTGTGCAAAATATTGTGATGTAATGTTAAACCTACTGGGCTTCAGATCTTGTGGTACAGACTGAGGCCTGGGGCCCATTTCTTGAAAGTCTTGGGAAGCCATTTTTAATTGATCTGTATCTAAAAACAGAGAGGTTTAAACACCTCAAACTTTTTGTATGGAGAGAACCTTTCTTCATATTAAGAATATGTGAATAAAACAGCTCAGTAATCTTAAGGTTTGAGATTTTGGTACAGCTTTCTGGGTGTGAAAACTTTTTGGGACCTTTGAGAAACGGGCCCCTGGTCTCTTGGATGAGATCATACATTTACATGATTCTGCTGGATTAAATGCAGTGGAGGGAGGGGGGGTGGGGAGTAAAAATGATACACTCCTCTCTGATTCATCCTACTGAAACTGGAGTCCTGAAGGCTTTGGCTTGTTTAGCAATGTAATCCATCAAATATTTTCACTTGCGAGTGATAAGTCTAAACACATCACATGACTGAATATGCCCCTGCTAAAACTGGGGAATATCACTCGGATATTTCCCAATTTTCAAAACCGCGCGTGTTGCGAAAAATGTTTGAAGGATAACAAACACAATAGCCTCCATTTGGGGCAAAAATAAGCTCGGATAGTTTTCCTTGGACATTATCTGTGCCTCAAAGGTCAGTTTTCCTCGAGCTATGCTCTCAGAAAACTGTTCCTTTTTTTTCGGACAATTATCCGAGCATATTTTCGGAGGAGGCTACCGCTTATATATTTTATTATATTCAAATGCAGACTTAACTCATTGTTTTTTTCCTGCAACAAAGAGTTTTGATGTTGTCGACTCAATTCAAGGAATTGTTTCTTATTACAGTGGTTATATTTTTGTTCCGTTTTACAGCTTGGTGATTTAGATGATGAGACACGAGGAATGGTAGAAAAAATGATGTTTGACCAAAGACAAAAAGCTGTGAGTATTATTGGATGAATGTTGACTTAATCATTTAGAAATAATTCTGCCAATTTGGC